ACAAGTATCGCAACAAGTCGTGGAACAGCTCTACTCTCAGGCCAGGAATGTCCAGATTTACGGTCACACAACTGCCCGAAGCCTTTTTGCCCAATAGTTCCCGAAATGCGGGACAACGGACGCAAACAATGGCCTTATGGACCGGGAAGTGAACGCCTTTGTAGACGAGAGTGACGTCCGAACAGTACTTGAAGTCAAACAACTCGCAGAAGTCGTTCTGAGCGGTGGAGGCCAGGGGTCGGGCGCTCTCAGCCAATAGAGACAACTCTTTGAGAAGACCCGAACACTCGTACTCTTCGCACAATTGCTTCACATCTCTTGTGGTCCACGAAGAGATGAAATCCCTCAACGCCTGCAAGTGATCAAATGTACGGCTTGTCCGTCGCTTCCGCGCCAGTCGTTTGCGAAGAGTAGCCAAAGACGACAAGTTCTTCCGCTTCTTCTCTTTGGTCGGCACTATATTAGTGAGAGAGCCGTCGGTTGTCGTCCCGTGACTGCCGTTCCCGCTGTCTGTCAACGAAGTCCACGAATTGACCGTCTCTTGCGATGTGGAGCTCATCGATGGCGTGGCCGACGATATCGAGCCCACAGATGAGGCCATTTGTGCGGAACTGTTGGCACCCATTCTTTACCACCAATTGTTCAATTAGTCTTTCAATCGATTGGATGTTAACTCAAATGCATAGCAATTATGTGTCCATTATATCAACGGACGACTCATTTGGTGTCAATTGCTATTCAAATCCATTTGTCTCACAAACAATGAACTCTTTGGGGGCGAGTGTTGAGTGGCATGTGTTATGAATCATGTGATGATAATGAGTGTTAAAGTGGATCCAAAATGGGATCAATTGGCCATCACTTCAATGCATTCAACCTTTGGCTCAAAGCAGACATTTTGGCAAAACTAGTCATTACTCTCTCATTACTGCTTCACTGCAACACTACTCGACAGCTCAAACACTCACCACATCTATGCCCGCCATTACAGTACACACACGCGTGGACGCCATCAATGCATCCATCATTCAATGTGTTTAACAGTACTCAACGTCAAAACACTCGCCTCCACCCCCTCTCATACGTCGTGAATGTTGGCATTGATGTGATCACTCGAATGGCCACTATTTGTTTGTATTGTTAACAAAACAATGTTTGCATTAAAAATAACATAAATTACATCAAAAAATATGACATAAAAGTTTGAATGAGTTCTTATTTGAATGAAAATAATTGTTTCATAATTAATATATTCAAAATAGATTTGTCGCTAAATTAAATGATCAATAATTAGTCAGATTCGTCGTCGGAATCGCTTTGTTTGTCCCAATCCTTCATCTTTGCGCCGATCATGAAGTCATCCCTCAATACTTTCCACTTCTGTTCATCAGATTCTCGTTTTTCCGATTCATTTGTCTTAATATTAAACACAAAAATTGATTAAAATGTATAATAAAAATACATTCAATAAATGCTTACTTTAGTTGAAGTGTCCTTTCGTTTGAGTTTATCGAGGAATTGATTTTTATTGAATTGAGTCATCATTTTGTCTCTTTTGGTCTCTGAAGAGCCGACTTCATTGAGTTTGGTTTCAATGGTCTTCTGCTGTTCCCGAACGGCATTAAACAGTTGGACAACACCTTTGGTGGCGACCGAACACAGCATCCGTTCCCTATCCCTGTCTTCGGCTTTGGGTTTCATTTTGTTCAACACTTCCCACTCGTATTTACTTAACTTTAATTTACTGCTACTCTCTTTGCTATTGCTTTCATCGCTTTTACTCTTCTTATTCTTCGTCGACGACTTGACAACAGACCCGTCTTCGTTGACAATCTCTAAGTCATCGTTTGGTTCATCGGTTTTCCGTTTGATTTCTTTATCTTTTTTAGCTTTCGATAAAATGAATGATTTGTTTTTGGTTTTGACGGAAAGGACTCGACTGATAGCGTCGGCCCACGAGCTGTTGGTCTCGGCTTTGGATGCGTTGATCGTGTCTTCAGATAAATCGATGTCGTCGTCGGAATCCAAATCATTGGCGCCATTCATGTCATCCAAATCCAGGTCCGAATCGACCACTTCTTCGTCACTCGATATCACTTTATTCACCAAAACTTTACTCTTTTTAACAGACATTTTATATTCAGTAATAATTATTGTAAAATTCAATAATAAATTGTATTTAAATATAATATTCAATGAATTAAACGATAACTAAAGCGAAGACATGTGAAGACATGCCATCAAAATGTTTACAAATTGAGACAAATTGCGAGACATGTGTTTCAGTGATCACGTGATGAACACAACACATGCACTCATCAAACATAACAAACATTTTAGACATTATATCAAAATTCATGTGATTTGAGAGAAATGTATTGAATTTAATGACTAAATGATCGCATCTTTCATTTGATCCCTAAATGAGTGACAAATGATAACATAATTATATAACAATTGGTGACAATAGAGTGGAGAAGAGATGTCGAGAGTATCGGAGATATTGTGTTCAAACCCTAATTTCCCGGTTTATAACCGGACAACAAATGATAGCAATTGGTATTTAACCGATTGTTTCACTCATTTGGTGATAATTAGTCCGATCTATACATTACTGGCCATCATGCGCCATTCATGTCATCCAAATCCAGGTCCGAATCGACCACTTCTTCGTCACTCGATATCACTTTATTCACCAAAACTTTACTCTTTTTAACAGACATTTTATATTCAGTAATAATTATTGTAAAATCAAATAATAAATTGTATTTAAAAGTAATATTCAATGAATTAAACGATAACTAAAGCTCAAGACATGTGAAGACATGCCATCAAAATGTTTACAAATTGAGACAAATAGCGAGACATGTGTTTCAGAGATCACGTGATTCTCACAACACATGCACTCATCAAACATAACAAACATTTTAGACATTATATCAAAGTTCGTGTGATTTGAGAGAAATGTATTGAATTTAATGACAAAATGATCGCATCTTTCATTTGATCCGTAAATGAGTGACAAATCATAACATTATTTGTAATTATATTAACAATTAGTGACAATAGAGTGGAGAAGAGATGTCGAGAATATCCGAGATATTGTGTTCAAACCCTAATTTCCCGGTTTATAACCGGACAACAAATGATAGCAATTGGTATTTAACCGATTGTTTCACTCATTTGGTGATAATTAGTCCGATCTATACATTACTGGCCATCACTTCTTCGCTTCTGATCGGTTGGTCATCACATATGAGACACACATTGAATGCAAGCGATTCTCTACTCAAAAGATTATTACAAATACAAACTTTAATTGTTTTTCTCATTTTATTGATTGTTTTGATTGATATGATTGTGATTACAATGAATACAAGCCATCAATTGATTGCAATCTATATCTCAAACACTATTCAAATGACAGCACTTTTTGTGCATTTATTTAGTTTGATATCAATATTAAACCGAAACTCTCTGTTAAATGTCATACCGATTGTGATTACGACTAATATAACAATCGTTTTGATTATACTCTCAAATGTGAACCAAATCTATTCACTTAGCGTTAAACAAGACATTGTTTCGCATCAATTGGTTTGCAGTGCAATCGTTATTTCTCTTTGGATATTTTATTTGCCAATTAATTCATGGATTTATAAGATATTGAGATCAAGTGGTGATGAGAGCGAACACCGTTTGATTGATTCAGACGATCGCATCTCTAATATATCCATAACTTGTGATGCAATCGATAATCAGTTGTTAAACGACCAACACGTGGACATTATCTCAAAGATATTCCTCCAATGGGTGTCACCTCTCATGAAAAGGGGAATCGAGAAGAATATCTCTTCGCATAACGACTTGTTTAGACTCCCGAACGAAATTCACGCCAAAAATGTTTGGCAAAAGTTTGACTCAATTTTTGCGTTAAATCCAATCATTAGTGAAGACAACAATACATACACTAGTCTTAAAAGTAATTCATTAATTAAATCATTGCTCAGATGTTATGGATTGGAGTTATTATATGTGGGATCTCTTAAGTTTACGAGTGATATCTTGTCGTTTTCGGGTCCACTCCTATTGAATCGTGTCGTTCAATATCTGGAAAGTGATGATCGCATCAGTTATGATGGCTTTTATTACTCAATAGCATTATTCTTGTGTACACTGTTATCGTCGGTTACCATCAGTTTATTTAATTTTTATATGAATAACATTTCGCTCAAAATCAGAAGTTCTATAATAGCGTCGATTTATAGCAAAATATTTAGCGTCCGATCAAACACTTTGAACGCACACTTCAGTACCGGAGAGATACTTAACTTCGCCAACACTGACACCGACCGAGTGGTCAACTTTTGTCCCTCTCTATTGCAGTTCATTAGTCTTCCCATTCAATTGTCGGTCACTCTATACCTATTGTACCAACAGTTAGGTCTGGCATTTGTTTCGGGAGTTGTGTTCGCTATTGTTTTAATACCAATTAATCGATGGATTTGTAACAAAATCGCGGATTTGAGTACAAAAATGATGGAATGGAAAGACAAAAGGATTAGATTAATGAGTGAAATATTAATGGGAATTCGTGTCATTAAAATGCACGGTTGGGAAGACCTGTTCTCCAAACGTGTACTTCATTTGCGGGAACAAGAAGTCAAATATCTGAAGGGAAGGAAATATTTGGACGCATTCTGTGTATACTTTTGGGCGACAACTCCTGTTCTCATATCTTCTCTGGTTTTTGGGACATTTGTTTTGCTGAACGGCAAACTCACGGCACCCGTGGTCTTCACTTCACTCGCTCTCCTAACTATGTTAATAATGCCATTAAATGTATGTATTATTTGGGATTATTCATTAATACACAATCTGACAACAAATATGCATTCATCATTAATGCAATTTTTAAATTTTGTATCATTATTATCAAACATGTTCAATGATTTTTATTTGTTGCCAGAGCATTATAATTTATAAATACCAAGCCGTTAAAACTTTAGGTTCTAAAGATTGCAGAAAATGTACAACTTTTGCACTCATACTTTATGCTCAACATTTTATTACTCTATCATTTATATACAGAATAATAGGGTCTAACATGAAAAATGTTTGATTAAATATATATATTTTTAGGCATTATGATAAATACCTTACTCATTTACAAAATAAGTTAAAAATGATTTTAATTAATTAATTAAACCCATATAAATCCAATTGTTTAAAATATAAAAACAATATACAGTCTATATGATTGTTTAACTAGGTCATATATCTACACATTGATTCATTACATAACATAAAGAATAACTTATTTGATTGAACAACAAGTTTAAATAGTTGATAACAATGAAATGGTTAGACGATGGTGAAATTGACTTGTTATGATTTGAGTGGCAATTAATGTTTATTATAAACACTTGTTCTAAAGGCCTTTCCGTGGGTTCTAAACGGACTGATGGAGAGCTTTGTTAGTATCAAGAGATTACAAAAGCTGTTTGATTTGCATCCGTTTGAAGTGGACAAACATTATAACCATGTGATTACAGAACGTGATCATAAGTTAGAGGCAATGGGCGCTTCATTCAACGCGTCTGAATCGAGTCGAGTCAACCCAGACTTAACGTGTCGTTTCATTTTAGGTCCAATTGATTTCGTTTTAACTCGAAATATGTTTATAGGAATCATTGGTTTGTGTTTTGAAAATATACTCAATATATCTTTGAATTATGAAATGTTTTATACAAATAATGTATGTTTTAAGGCAAAGTCGGAAGTGGAAAGAGTTCACTTATAAATGCATTGTTAGGCGAAATGCAAAGAATTAGTGGTAAACTTGGGATCAGTAATAGTGACTTTGAGGCCGGAATAGGCGTTGTTACTCAAGAACCATGGATTCAAGTACTGTATAATTATTATATTTTTTCTTTACACTTACCCTTCGCCACCAATTTATTCAATATTAAATATTTATTAAGCAAATAACGACAGTCAGTGTATAACTAACTTAATTCCATCTCTTATTCGTTGGTTTTTAGTTTGAATGAATCAATTGTACGGAAACTGTTGTTTAACTTATAGTTTTTGTTATTGACTACAGAACGCGACTCTAATGGAGAATATCTTATTCGGTAAACCATTTAATTCTGTCCGTTATAACTCAGTTCTGGAGGCCTGCGCTCTAATCGATGACATTAACGTATGCTTTAAATTTAGTGATATATAATGAAATTACATACGAATGCCTAAATATACCGCTTTGTTAGTCATTCACTGACGGAGATCTCACTGTTATTGGCGATAGAGGCGTAACGCTATCGGGCGGACAAAAGGCCAGAATTTCATTAGCGCGGGCTATATATCAGGATTTTGACATTTATTTAATCGACGATCCGTTCGCAAGCGTTGACATTCATGTCGGCGAACAGATATACAACAAATGCATTTGTGGTCTATTGTTGGACAAAACCAAGATTGTGAGCACTCATCACCACAATTATCTCGTAAAAGCAGATCTGGTCTTGAAGTAAGCGTTGACATTCATGTCGGCGAACAGATATACAACAAATGCATTTGTGGTCTATTGTTGGACAAAACCAAGATTGTGAGCACTCATCACCACAATTATCTCGTAAAAGCAGATCTGGTCTTGAAGATAGAATCGGGACAAATCGTGACATCGGGTTCACCCGAAGCTGTGCTTAAATTCAAAGACAAATCCAAAAAAGAAGAAAAGAAATGCGACGAAGACTTGACTACAATTGAGGACAATATTGAAAATGAGTTAAAACTTAAAGAAGAAGAGAGGGAAGAGGGGGTCGTTAAACTCGATGTCTATATCACTTATTTGAAATCCGTTGGTCTATATCTCTCGTGTCTGATAATAATTTCCATGTTATTAATGCAAATATCGAAGAGTGCGTCCGACTGTTGGCTTGCATTTTGGACATCAAATAAACGCTCAGATATGAGCTCTTCGACCAGTTATCTGATAGTCTTCATCTGCATAGCGGCCGCCAATTCAGTTCTCACTCTAATTCGTTCGTTTATATTCGCTTACGGAGGAGTAGTGGCGGCTCTAAAACTACATTCAATGTTATTGATCAAAATATTTAGGGCCCGCGTCTTGTTCTTTGATTTGACTGCTTTCGGCAGAATTATCAACAGATTCTCGTCCGATGTGTTCAATGTTGACGACGGCCTTCCCTTTACGCTGAATATATTCTTGAGCCAAATGTATAGTTTGTTGGCCTCATTAGTGATTACAGTGTATGGCTTACCATGGATTGCACTTCTTATTATTCCCCTATCGATACCATATTATTTTATTCAAGTAAATGCAATGCTTAATGAAATCTATTATTTATATTTATTATTTTGAGTTGAGATGAGATATCTATTTATCGCACAATATTATAGCGCTATTATCGATGGACATCTAGGGAACTGAAAAGACTTAGCGCAGTTTCTCTGTCTCCTATATATACGCAGGTATACAAACTTATAATTGATTAAAATGTATATGGTACATATACTTTTATATTTAATTATTAAAATTTAATCACATTCTGAATTCTTGATTAGTTGGACGAAACTCTTCAAGGATTAGTTACTATCAGAGCATTTGCCAACACTAATAGGTATTTTTTGTTAGATTCTTTGAATTCGTATACTTTTAAAACAAATTATTTTGTTATTTTAATAACTTTTTTTTATATAACTCACAATTATTATATACATTGGGATTATATTATAAACTATACATAAATAGGTTTATGCGTGAAATGTACCGAAAATTAGACGTGAATAATAAGATTCAGTACTCGAGTGGTGCTGTCGGCCAATGGCTTAATCTTCGGTTACAATTGTTAGGGAATCTCATCTCCTCTGGTGTGGCACTGCTCGCAGTGGGCCTTCATTTTTGGTCACATCAGACAATAGACTCGGGTTTAGTTGGATTAGCGCTCGTCTATTCACTGTCGGTCACTGGCCTTTTGAATGGTGCCGTCCAATCATTCACGCAGACAGAGATGGATATGGTTTGCGTCGAAAGGATTATGCAATACATAAATAATATAGAAGACGAACAATCAATAGATTGCGAAGACCGACAAACTGTAGACAATTGGCCGAACAAAGCGATTGTTTTCAGACAGAGATGGATATGGTTTGCGTCGAAAGGATTATGCAATACATAAATAATATAGAAGACGAACAATCAATAGATTGTGAAGACCGACAAACTGTAGACAATTGGCCGAACAAAGCGATTGTTTCCTTTAATAACATATCCATGAAATACAGATTTGATATGCGTTTAGCCCTCGAAAATGTTTCATTCACTACAAAGTCCGCAGAGAAGATCGGAATCGTTGGTAAGATAAGAATTATTCACTATTTCATTGATCGACAATACAAACAATGCATACACTATACAGCACACAGTATATCGTATTTTATACAATCCTTATCTATTGTCTTGTCTATTGCTAACACAGAAATCCGGCTTGGCCAAGGCCGTTTAGTTCAAATAAAGTTCATTCTTAGGAAAAGAATTGTCAATTGGGTTAAAACTAATTTAAATGGGATTATAAGTTTGATATGTTAAACTATATTTTTAAACACGTTATCCGTTTATTAATATATCTATTTATGGTTGAGTTGACATGTTGTCAGATTTTATCAATTAATTGCATTTATTTCTTGATGAATGGTAAAATTAGTATTTTTAGTTTATTTTGAAATTATTCTTTGTATTTATTGGCTAAATATAATAAATTGTGTGAGAAATGAAAAACATTACAAACAAGGTTTACACGCGTTAACCACAATTCGGGTGATGCTCAAAGAATTCCATAGACTTAAGATTATTTCATAGAAATATTATAAACCATAGACTTAAAAGGAGAATATCTATATAGCAAATGGCCTAGCCCATTCTGATTGGTATGGACGTGTTCAGTACGGTTCATAGATTTATTTTCTGTCGGGAGAATCTGCCAATGGTCAGAAATGACCGAATTATAAACAAAATTTGAAATAAATACATGGCATTCAATTGAATTCACACAACGTTAAAAACTTTAAAAAGTTGTGATGAATGGTGATTCACACATAGCACAGAGCCTTTCCCCACAAGTCTATGCATTATATGCTATGTATTTATTCCGAATTTTGTCCATAATTCGGTCATTTCTGGCCATTGGCAGATTATCTCGACAGAAGATAAATCTATAAACCGTACTGAACACGTCCATACCAATCAGAATGGGCTAGGCCATTTGCTATATAGATATATTCCTTTTTAGAGCCTTAGCATTACCCATGTTAAAATATACTGTATCCTTAGACTTAACCTGGGATCACATGTCAAATGCCATAGTGAGGGGAGGGGGCATCGAGATTCTATAAACCACATTTTCATATATGAATTGTGGTTAAAAATATTCAAGTTTTGTTATTTTATAAGAACATAAGAATATTCTGTTTATTCATAGAAAATGTTAATTATTTGAGAATTTTGCAGTATGTCATTTTCAATTCTTGTTTATAAATAATAATTAATAATTTGTACACTATTTGAATAATTGAGGTGTTGTTCCGTTTGGTGAACTTAAAAGAAGGAAATGTGACCATTGATGGCATCGATATTTCGACTCTCAGTTTGAAAACATTAAGGTATTTGGATAAGGGAATAGAAAGTTTGTAATACACTGTTACGTAAACTCTTTTAGATACTAAATAAATAATTAGTTTTGTAAAATAACATTATGTTTTACAAACGTTAAGACAATAAAACTTAACTAAAGTTACGGCATAAGAGTCACGCCATTCGCTAATCAATTCTTGTATCAAACAATTTATTTTATTTGTTTCGAAATATATTTTTAATGTATAGTAAGTGAAGAAAATATTTCTGTTATTTTGAATTGATTTCAATCGGCATAAGAGTCACGCCATTCGCTAATCAATTCTTGTATCAAACAATTTATTTTATTTGTTTCGAAATATATTTTTAATGTATAGTAAGTGAAGAAAATATCAAACCTTTTACTTACAAACTATTTATAAATTTTGAGTTTTACTGAGTTTTGTGTCATTTCAAGAATAATATCATAATGCAATATAATATATTACAGTGTAATAACTGATCATGTCTCATTTTAAGCACATTTCGTTAAAGCTTTCTATTTATAATTATGCCAAACAAAGTTTATTCTTGTCGTTATTATTTGTGTTTTTACAGAAGAAATATTTTGGTCATATATTTATGAATTAGAAATGTTTTTGAATGTAAACTTTATATTGAAAATGGAAACACAATCTATTAATTACTCAAAAGTTATAAATATTTGAAAGTGAAAGTTGGAAATTTGATTTGCTGTATATTGTATTGATTTGAATGTTAAGAAATGTAGTTTCTATGAAATTTTTTACATGAATTGATTTTTGTTAGAATTAAGCGTCGGTTGAGATGAACCGCTAATTTAATGTTGGAAATTTGATTTGCTGTATATTGTATTGATTTGAATGTTAAGAAATGTAGTTTCTATGAAATTTTTTACATGAATTGATTTTTGTTAGAATTAAGCGTCGGTTGAGATGAACCGCTAATTTAATTACAATGCATTTAATGAAGATTTCTTACTGCAATACGATATGCCATACAATACAATATACAGTACAATAGAATATAAATAATTCTTTAGTATTCCTTACATTAATAATTAAATAGAAATGGTTTGTATTCATGAAAACACAATCGATTAAAAGATTTTCATTTCATTTGTTTGTATGAATTGAAGATTAGGACAGTATTTATGCAATGCTTAACAACGTTTGTATTTACGTTTAGATCTAGACTATTCATTATATCTCAGGATCCGTTCCTATTTAGTGGTTCAATAAGGGATAATCTGGACCCTCGAAGTCAATACACCGATAATGAGATCTGGCATTCGCTCAAAGAATGTCATTTGGAGTCTTTAGGTATACTATTGGCCGCAATCAGCGAATAATACTTAATCCGTG